ACAGACCTTGGCACTAGTGTCGCGCAGCCCATTGGCTCCTCCACCATCCCCACCAACCATGGCCGTGAAGGAGTAGCGTTTGGCCATCTTCAGCTGCAACCACATGTTCCACAAGTGCAACACGTCCGTCATGCAGCGGAGCACCGTCACCGTGATGGCGAACCACCCGTCCACAAACAGGCACATACAGCTCTGGCTAATGGATAAGGCGTAGAAGAAGAGAGGGTCTATGATGAGCCCCGTTGCACACACAAGGAGGAAAACCCTGTTCCATTCTTGAACCCATTTCGCTCTCGGGTCGAGAACTTGGCCGAGTGACCAACCGGGCCTCCTCCTCTGGCGCGATGAACACATGTTGTTGTACAAGCAGTTCTCAAAATTTCCTCCATGAGATGTACTACTTCCATCACTCTCTTCGTCGTCTTCTTGTACCTCGTGGTCTTCGTGATCTTCAGTTTCAGATTCATCGTCGGAGATGTAGTTATGCATGCGTGAAGAAGTCTGAGAAATTTCTTGCTCACTAGGCATGGTTATGAGTAATGGGATGGGAGGAATTAAGGTACGAGTTCTGATGCAGCTTTGAAATGATATGTGTTCGCGTAAAGGACAACAATAATTGGAGAGATGGGAAGCAAACAGTGAATTAGGCAGGGGGAAGAGAGGGTGATGACAAATTTGATTGTGAACTTACCAGATTGCCCTCCGGTTAAATCCACTTTGGAATTTTTGGTTACTGAGTTGTACAGGGTGATGTATACTTGTTTGACAGTTCACCAATTACCCCAAACCATATATGCATCAAGTCGGACCCGACACTGTCATTGATGTTGCTTTACAAAAGTCGAGTTGAGCCAAAATTTCAAGAATTCCAAGCATCCAAATGGGGATATTTGCTCAATTTCTTGAAGACCTACAAGCACAAGTTGCAGACATCACAATTATATTCTCACTAAATAAGGAAAAATGCTAGGTGCTTATACCTTTGTTTGGGTCTTCTTTGTTTCGATAATTGGGTGAATTAGTGATTGTATTTGCTAATTTTATTTCCAATTTCAATTGAGTAAACCTGACTCATTCATTTTCTTTCATAGATTAGTGTAATTCATGGTTTTTTTTTTTTTTTCAATAGATAAAAACAAACTTCAATATGAGCTAATTTTTTTGCCCTCCATTGGAGATGAGTTTTTTTTATTTTTAATTTTTTATTTTTATCAAAAAGACTATATCCCTCCATTTGGCATTCTATTGTAGATGACCTTAGTCTCCTTGGTCACTTGAAATGCAAAAGGGAAAGAAAAAAAAAAAAAAAAGGACACATGGGAGCTAAGAGGATGAGAAGTGTTGTATGTAAGTATCACTCCATGAGCAGCTAAGAGTATTTAATGAGATGTTTACTTACTAAGAATAAGCATAAAAAGAAAGAAATCCTTCCAATTCATGACTTCCCCATTAAAAAGAAATATATGGGTCATATATACCTCAAAATTATTAATTCAATACCCTCAAAACAAAGAATGAGTTCAACTAGGTGAATTAGTTGATATGGATGAGCCCATATTTGTGATAAGAATTGAAATGCTCAAGACTGGGTCGCATGGACGAATTTAATTAACATTATCCTGCCCAAAATGAATTGCAACATGTTTTAGAAATATTTTATTTTTTAAACTAAGGGAAGTATCTCATTACACATAAATGGCAGACTAAATAAAAAAAAATCTTTAACGTTAAATATAGGTGATTCGTTATATAAAATCTCATCACGTATGGACAGCTTTACGTGATTTGCTAGTGTATATTGTGGTACATGAAATGGATTTTGTTACTTATGAATGTAAATTAGTTAAAAGTGGTATCATTTTAGCCATATGAAAGTAAGGATTATAGATTCTCCTATATGAAAAACAATTGTGTATAATTAAAGTGATTTAATATGTATTTATTATTCAAAAACTCCTATTCATCAAATTGAGAGGAGTAGTCATCTTTCCTAACGATGGGTGGGTAATTAATTAGAGCTTTTTAAGGAAATTAATCCTCTTATATATCATAGGGTAAGGATGGGGAGATTAAATTTGTAGACCAAATTTTGCAAACTAAATGATATATAAGTTGATGATTAGATTATTACTTTAATTACTGATTAACGTACTTATTCTCATTGGACACATCATTTAGTTTACAAATTTAGTCTACCTAGCATTACTCTATATCATATGAAAATGTACGTACTCATCTATTGTGTCACTAACGTAACATGTATTAGCGTGTAACGTGCAAAAGATCGAGAGAAAAACCTATTTCTCGACACTAAAGGTTCGCCTACATAATGATCTATACACTTATTATATCTTTGTTGATTTGAAGATTAATTATCAAATGTGTTTACTGAATTTCCTTTCGTGCATGTTATTCGGAAAATCATAAAGTTTTAGGTTTCAGTTTATGTATTGGTTGAATCATGGATTCCTGCAAGCTTTGGTTTTGTTTTGATCAGTTGAGTGAATCAATTTATTTTCTCTCGTTTGTTTTCTGTTTTGGTCGTGGGGGTATATATGTCTCACACACAACTCGTTGGAAAGAGATGAACATTCTGATCTGGCTCTCATATAGTTTCAAACACAGCATGTGATAAATGGATGCAGTGGTCCACAATTCTATGCGTATGTCTTGTTTCAGTTGTGTGGGGATCATATAATTGGTTCCATGTAAAGGAGAGAGAAGAATTTTGGTTCAATTGTTGGATCAAGAGCTGAAAATATAATTGTTTATTTATTAGTTTTTACAACAACGAAAAAACAAAATTCTGAACATTTTTGAGATCTAATTAATCAACCTGGCAGTTGTCTGTGGTTATAATCATCCAAAATTCCAGAGGTGAAGTGAAGCGAAGATTGTTTAGCATGTTCACAAATCCTATGCTGTGATAGGGTTAGCTACTAAGCTTGGTTAGACTGCACCTCCAAGTCTCGAAAGCTAAAAGAAAGACATATATATAGCCACTCATCTCTTGTCATAGATCACCTGTGCATCTTTGGTTCTCCACAGCATAGAAGTCTTTCTCTGTTGGCATGGTTCACGAAATATATTTTCATTTATTGCGAGGATGTGAAGAAATGTACATCCTACGTCGGAAATTTATCAAGATAAATGGTTAGTACTCCTACAATTGGTTATATAATAAAACATCAACTTTCTTTAGTTATATATGTTGAAACGAATAATTTTCAAACTGTGGATTTGATATTGAAAGATTGGATGCTGAAACAAAATTGACCCCGCAAATATACAGACATATATATATATATATATATGAATCCTTTAACAAGAGGGATCTCCATTTTTCTAAAAAATAAAGACACCCTCTTAACTATTGGATTTGACTTTAATGAAATTGTATGGCCTGTGATTTAATCTTAACCACACAATTTCATTAAAGCCAATCCAACGATCAAGAGGGTGTTCCTATTTTTTTTTTTTTTTTTTTTTAAATGAGGATCCTTCTTGTTAAAGGGTGTATATATATGGGTGCATATGCAACTTGTAATTGCCATAAAACATATGTACGGCTTCCGTTTGGCATAACTGCGTGAGAGTGATCTTGGGTAGCTCCCATCCCCATATATTCCTTTTACCGCCTCAAAATATTCCAGTATTTGGGAAAATAACCAGAAAATTAAAATCACGACGTTGTAAATCCGTAACACTGTAAAGGGTTGTTTGGGAAATGAAAAAAAAGCGTTGTAGACATAGAGCTAATTAAGCTAGGTACAGAGGTGGGGAAACAAAAGAAGGGGTGGGGGCAAAGAGTAGTATTGCGGGGGAAACGAAAGGAAGGGGACCGGGGAGGGACGCGGTAGCAGCCACACATAAGTTCGAAGAAGCTAGGTTCCATGCAGCTTCGTCTTTTCGTTTGTTTCCTCATAATTATATTTTGTCGCTATCTGTCAAAGTATATGTGAAGACCGTTGCTTGTACAGCAACCTACTTGGACAACGATCACATTTCGAAATTCTGAACCATATATCTAATAATCTAAGTACGTAACTCAAAACAAACTCTCTTTTTTCATCTGGCTGTATGTATCTCTGAATAATCTGCCCATTTGCATTACAGTGATCCCCTCGCCCGGCACTATATACTTTTGTCTGTGTGCACGATGATAACTGAGAATTAGGAAATGCAGTCCTCACCTCTGCATGCATGGAATAGTGTTTTTTATTTTTTTTGGTCGAAAGTATGGAATAGTTAATTATCATGTGACTACTAAAGAGTACTACTAACTATTAAAGTTCTTTCATTTCATGTCACTTGGTACCATGATTCAGTAGTATTTCTATTCATTTGTAAGTGAATGGTTTTAGGTTTAGATTCGATTCTCGCGAACGACGAATTCAAACCATTTATGGCTAGTCCATTGTGCGGTTTAGTCCACTCCCCACCCCTTAGTGTAAGTAAAATAGAATGTATTTAAAAAAAATTCCGACGTCTTAATAATTACCACAAATTAAGCCGACATAAGTGCTAATAATTACCACAAATTAAGCCGCCGTAAGTGCTAATACTACATAAGCATATGTAAAATTCCTGCAATCAATTCCGAAGCTACTCTATTGAAAGTTTTGTCAATTTAAGTCACTTGACTTGCTTGTGATACATTTTGAAAAGCAGATTGACCTTTTAATTGAGTTTAAAAAGTTTTATTTTTTTATTTTTTTATGTGCTCAGATTGAAGGGAAGGAGAGCTCTTCAATGTTAGAATAAAGCCCCATTTTTCCAGCCAAAGAATTAAACCCTGTTTGCCCACCAATTTCTTGAATATTTTTCAATGGCTTATGCACTATCCTAGTGGTCACGATAGTCACTCTACACGCCTGCTCTTTTGCCATTGACTTGGCCCAACGCAGAGCCAGAGGCCCCGGCCCAATATACAAAACCAAAATTAGGCCACAATTGTTAATAGTTGAAATCACCAGGGGTATTTTGGTACTTAAACCGATGAAAACAGTGCCACCTTTCTTCTCCGTTTCCGCTGTCATCGCCCTTTCAAAATTCCCCGCCACCGTTCCTTTTCCCGGCTGCCAAGCTTCGCCGAATCAGCTTCTACATTCGCACTCACAGTAGTCTTCGCAACACTATAACGCAGGTAATCATCTCTCGCGCTATCGACTGTTTGTTTCCCGAGAAAACGCAGGAAAAAGAAAAGAACTCGGTACTTGACTACCGAATCCGTTGAATCGCTTACTATACTACTTTAATTTTTGCTTCCAACTTTTTTTTCACAGAATTCATCAGCAACTAGAGAATTGAACTTTCACTATGATTATTTGTTCTTCCTTTTCCGTATTTACTCTGTTTGATTATGTTCTTGTGCTGCTAAAACCCTGCGTTTTAGGGGTTTTTGGATTTCGGTTTTCAGTATCCGAATTGAGATTTTTTTATTATTTCGATACCGAAAGTTGCATGTTGGGGTTTTTCATTTACTGCAACCTTTTAGCAAATTCGTTTCTTGAAACTGGAATATCTGAATATTTTTCCTTTCAATTATTTGCGTTTTGAGTTAAAAATAATGCGGTGGAAATGCAGGTGTTGGTAAAATAAAATTCTAGTCGAAATTGGGGCGTTTTAAGATCATAACTGTTCTGTGGTTTCGACGTGTTGTAGGCTTAAAGAGTATCGACTATCAGTATGGGTGACTTGTCAAGGTAAATTTCAGTGCAATATGTTTCTAGATTTTCTGGACAAATGTTATTTTCTATTTTTAGCTTCAGTGAAATAATTTTCAGGGAGGATCTTAGTGATACGCTTCGAATACTTTTTGCTACGGATTGCCATCTGGGTTATATGGAGAAGGATGAAATACGGCGGCATGATTCATTCCAGGCATTTGATGAGATATGCTCAATAGCGGAACAAAAAAATGTAATAGCTAATTTTTCCTTCTAGCTGTATTTGTAGTCTCACACCATGGAATACCAGTTTGCTAGTGTGGTTTGATTCCCTTTCTTTATTTCTTTCAATTTGTGTGATTTGGAGAAATAGCGTATTGCAAAGCTCTATTCAATTGAAACTGTTTCCTTATACTTTCTGTGAACTACCACATTTTGACATTTATCTACTATCAGGTGGATTTTTTGCTTCTTGGCGGTGATCTGTTCCATGAGAATAAGCCTTCAAGGTCAACACTAGTTAAGGCCATTGAGATTCTCCGTCGTCATTGCCTCAATGATCAGCCAGTGCAGTTCCAAGTTGTTAGCGACCAGACTCTGAATTTTCCAAATACGTACGTTATGAATCAACTGCACGTTTGTTGTTTCCTTGGAAATTTTACTGCAATGATATGTCTAAGTTGACCTTTGGTTCATATGCCACTAGTTGAGCAAAAGGAAAAAAAATTTCCCTGCACTATTAAGATTTAGGACTACAAACATTATCTTTTCACTCCGATGTGTTTTTGCATTCAATTTCACATCAGAAACCTTGCCTTTCTGTAAAAATTTAGGGATATATGGTAAGCATGTAGGCCCTTGGGTTAATAATAACATGCTTGTTCTAACAGATTTGGTCATGTAAATTATGAAGATCCTCACTTCAATGTTGGATTGCCAGTATTTAGTATTCATGGAAATCACGACGACCCTGCTGGAGTGGTATGGATTCTATCTGGTGAAGTTGTGTGTGTAACTGTGCATTTGCCTTTGCATTTCTGTTTTTAACATTATCAATGTTTCTCATCAGAAATCACTTTTAGCACCATGGTTTGAGAGTTTTTTACCCAAGTTTGGTATCGTGTATAGCTTACTGGTCAAGTTCGTTGGTTGTAATAAGAGGGTTCAAGTTTCCACAGGATTCAACTTACGAGCCTCATCAGCCTTCTATCTCACAAGAAAGAAACTTATAACTTGTTAGGCTTGTCAGCAAATTCAGACATACCCTTTGCTCCAGTGATGTGTTTTCTAAGTGTAGATTTACAGTTAGTAAAGGATTTGGATGGTCTTGTCAGAATATCAAGAAAAATATGTTCATATTTTGGAATAAGCTGCATTTTGATGTGACCAGTTCTGTTATTCTATATCCAATTCCTGTAAGAGAGGAAGGGAGGGAGGGAGGGAGGGAGGGAGGGAGGGAGGGAGAGAGAGAGAGAGAGAGAGAGAGAGAGAGAGAGAGAGAGAGCGGGAGTTTAAAAGATGGAGAGGGAGGGTACCAATAGGCTAATGGTTATCTCTATATTGAAGAATTGGGTTATTTTTTAATAAAAATTATGTTATTACCCGAAAAAGGAGCAAGGACCCCCTCTTTCGCACACTTATATGATATTTATTGATTTTCTGAAATGTGTTTGCTACTGCTGTTTTAAGTGCCATATATTGGTACTTCTTAACATTATGGTTATTGACAGGATAATCTTTCTGCTGTCGATATTCTCTCAGCGTGCAACCTTGTAAACTATTTTGGGAAAATGGGTCTTGGGGGTTCTGGTGTTGGTCAGATCACCGTGTATCCTATTCTCATGAGGAAGGTTAGTAAATGGATTTAATAAATAGTAGGATTGCGAGGATCTAATGTCTTCTTTTGGTGAATGGAATATTTTGTCTTTATGTTGCATGGCTCATAACTCCTGAATTGCAGGGTGCAACATCAGTGGCCCTCTATGGTCTCGGAAATATTAGAGATGAACGGCTCAATAGAATGTTTCAGGTATTTTATGTTGAGAATTCGCTTTCGACTGTTTATTTGCAGGCTTCTAAATACATATGTGTTGGACATATTATTCATATTTCAGACACCACATGCTGTACAATGGATGAGACCTGAATCTCAAGAAGGGTTGGAAGTGTCAGACTGGTTCAACATTCTAGTGCTTCATCAGAACAGGTTTGGTGTGTGTGTGTGTGTGTGAGATTGGATTGATCATGATTGAGGACTCCTGACTTAATATCAGAATTTCATTCGGTTGTGGTTTAACATTAAGTTGTCAATGTTCCTATTTATGAAGTTATATAATTTTTTCTGCAGAGTGAAGACAAACCCAAAAAATGCCATAAATGAGCACTTTTTACCACGCTTCCTAGACTTCGTAGTGTGGGGGCATGAACATGAATGCCTCGTGGATCCTCAGGTGCCAATGAATACTGCTTTATCAATATATGCAGTTTGCACATGTGCATGCTCGTCGTACAAGTTTGAGTGTGTACATGCGTGATTGTGTTTGTCTCTGGGTGCGTAGTTTTGGTCTTGTTTAGGAGGGTGGCTTACAGGACTTTACATGGATTTGTTTTTGACAGGAAGTTCCAGGGATGGGATTTCACATTACACAACCTGGTTCTTCAGTTGCAACATCACTGATCGATGGAGAATCAAAGCCAAAGCATGTGCTCCTTTTAGAAATTAAGGTTGCACATAAGTCAATGTTAGATGTATTTTTTCCAGAAAGCAGCATCTTTTGATGCTTTCTATTCCCACGCTGAGTTGGATACTGACAGACTTTTATGCAGGGGAATCAATACCGTCCAACCAAGATTCCTTTGACGTCAGTGAGGCCATTTGAGTACACAGAGGTGATTCAGTGTTGACCTTTTGATCTACATAATAACTTTTGATGAATACCTTTTTTTTTTTTTCTGTTACAGATTGTATTAAAAGATGAACCTGAAATTGATCCTAATGATCCAAACTCAATTCTTGAACACTTGGACAAAGTGGTGAGTGTAATTGACAAGTAATATTTGACTGTTGTACTTTCCCTTGCCTTTCCTTTTCCATGTATTATATCCTCTGATGCATATGCTGTATATTAATAATTTAGATTTGAATTTCTATAGGTCAACTCTCTTATAGAGAAATCTAGGAAAAATGTTGTTAGCGGATCACAGCTCCAACTTCCATTGGTCCGAATAAAGGTAATATTTCCAATTTAACTTAAGATGTGGGTATTGTGATGTGATCCTCATATATGCATTCTCATATCTCTAGGCCTTTTTTCTGTCCCATGTCTTGCCTTCAGACCTGCAAGTATTTGTGCACATATGTATGCTCTCTCTTTTTTTTCCCAGTGTAACCCTATCCTCCCCCACTTCCGAGCGACATTATAACTTCTCTCAATCAATTGGCAGGTGGACTATTCTGGATTTATGACAATAAATCCTCAAAGATTTGGGCAGAAGTATGTGGGGAAGGTACATTCACTCATCCTATATCAGTAATCTAATTGATTTTTCTAGTATCACATTTTGGAAATAAATAACTGCTATTGTAATGACTTTAAGGTTGCAAACCCACAAGACATTCTTATATTTACGAAGGCTTCAACAAAGGGCCGGAGTGAAGGTACTTATCACACTTGTAGATTTTGCATTGGTTGATTCGTTATTTTTATATTATCTTATAGGTTCCATTTCCTTATTTAATTTTTGAGTAACCAGAAGCTTGGTGCACCCGTGGCCTATGAGATTTTCTTCATATTAACCTCACAGGTCCATTATGTTAACAGATTAGATTGCCACAAGTTAAATCTTATGTTATATCTCAAATGAAAATGATGGTAATAAATTTGATGTGACTAAATGAAATTATCTCCATGTTAGAGAAGTTTTGTAGTCGACAGTTCGGATAAAGGAGGAGGGGGAGGGCGTCAGGTAGTCGACAGCCGGCACTTCTAGGTTACGTTGAATCCTTATGAAAATGAATCCAGAACGAAATCGCGCCAAAGCTAAGGCGTCACCCGTAAGTGGCGCGCTGTGTGGCCCGAGCACAATGATAAGTGAGCAAGGGTCATTGTATCTCCATCGGCACCCGGATGTAGTGTTAAATGAGTAAGGGGGTCATAGAAACTTCTTTTTGAACAACTCCACTCAAAGTTGTTTGGGAGCATATGCTCCTATCAACTTTACACAGGACACACAAAAGAAGTACTTTGATCCTATTAGACGGGGGAGGGTGAAGAAGCTAGGACAAAAGGGTAGAGTTCAAGAGAGTAGAATGCGTTTAGGAACGTGGAATATAGGAACCTTAACGGGAAAATCTATGGAAGTAGTGGAAGTGATGGTGAGGAGAAGGATAAGTATTATGTGCCTACAAGAAACTAAGTGGGTTGGTCTTAAGGCAAAGGATTTAGAAAACTCAGGTTTTAAACTTTGGTATTCGGGCACAAATAGAATGAGAAACGGTGTTGGTATCATCGTGGACAAGACCTTGACACAAGATGTTGTAGATGCCAAGAGGGTAGGAGATAGAATTATGGCAATCAAGATTGGAATAGGACAAGAACTCATCAATGTGATTAGTATGTACGCACCTCAAGTAGGTTTGGATACGAGTTTGAAGGAGAAATTTTGGGAAGATCTTGGAGACTTGGTGCAAGGAATTGCTCGGACGGAGAAGGTATTTATAGGAGGAGATTTAAATGGACACATGGGCAAGGAGACAGGCAACCATGGAGGTTTTCATGGTGGCCATGGTTTTGGGGAGAGAAATGAGGATGGGGAAACCATCTTGGATTTTGCAATGGCATATGATCTCTTCTTAGCCAACACCTTCTTTAAGAAGAGAGAAGAACATGTGATCACCTACAAGAGTGGGTCGTCAAAAACACAAATAGATTTTCTTCTAATGAGGAAAGGGGATCGTATAACTTGTAAGGATTGCAAAGTTATACCAGGAGAAAGCTTGGCTAATCAACATCGCTTGTTGGTGATGGATGTACGTATCAAAAGAGAGAAAAAAGAACAAGACTTGGAAGTGCCCAAGGACTAGATGGTGGAATCTAAAAGGAGAAAAACAAGCCATTTTCAAAGAGAAAGTAATCAACCAATGCGTGTGGGATAAAGAGGGGGAAGCTGGCCAAAGGTGGGATTCCCTGGCTAGTTGTATTCGAAAAGTAGCAAAAGAGGTATTAGGAGAGTCCAAGGGCTTTGCTCCACACCAAAAGGAATCTTGGTGGTGGAATGAGGAGGTACAAACAAAGGTGAAGGCTAAGAAGGAATGTTGTAAAGCCTTATACAAGGATAAGACCGATGAAAATGGTGAAAGGTATAGAATAGCGAAGCAGGAGGCGAAGAAAGCTATGAGAGAAGCAAAGCTAGCGGCTTATGACGATATGTATAAACGACTAGATACCAAAGAAGGAGAGTTGGATATCTATAAACTAGCTAGAGCAAGGGAAAAGAAGACAAGGGACCTAAACCAAGTGAGGTGCATCAAGGATGAGGATGGAAAGGTTCCTGGTACAGAGAACGCGGTCAAAGACAGATGGAAAGGTTATTTTCATAATCTTTTCAATGAAGGACATGAAAGGAGTGCTTCTTTGGGGGAGTTGAGTAACTCAGAAGAGTGTAGAAACTACTCCTTTTACCGCCAAATCAGGAAGGAAGAAGTGGTTGTAGCTTTGAAAAAGATGAAGCATAGAAAAGTAGTGGGTCCAGATGATATACTGATCGAAGTGCGGAAAGTCTTGGAGAGACGGGTATAGCATGGCTCACAGACCTTTTCAATAGGATTTTGAAAACGAAGAAGATAGCCAAATGAGTGGTGAAAGAGCACTTTGGTGCCTATCTACAAGAATAAGGGCGACATGCAAAATTGCATGAACTATAGGGGTATTAAGCTAATGAGTCATACAATGAAGCTCTGGGAGAGAGTCATTGAGCATAGATTGAGGCAAGAGACACGAGTTTCGAACAACCAATTCGGGTTCATGCCAGGGCGCTCAACCATGAAGGCAATCTATCTCTTACAAAGATTGATGGAAAGATATAGAGATAAGAAAAAGGATTTACACGTGGTCTTTATAGATTTGGAAAAAGCGTATGATTGGGTCCCAAGGGACATTCTTTGGAGGATTTTAGAGAAGAAAGGAGTATGAGTAGCATATATCCAAGCTATAAAGGATATGTATGATGGAGCAAAGACTGCCGTAAGATCTCATGAAGGATAAACCGAAAGCTTCCCCATAACTGTAGGGTTACATCAAGGCTCATCCTTAAGTCCTTACCTTTTTGCATTGGTAAAGGATGAGTTAACGGGACATTTCAAGATGATATTCCTTGGTGTATGCTTTTCGTAGACGATATAGTGTTGATAGATGAAACTCAGGAAGGGGTAAATGCGAAGCTTAACCTTTGGAGAGAAGTGTTGGAATCTAAAGGTATTCGCCTAAACCGATCAAAGACAGAATATATGGAGTGCAAGTTCAGTGCAAATGGAGGCCAAAATGAGTTAGGGGTGAGGATCGGAGATTAGGAAGTACCAAAGAGCGACCGCTTTCACTACCTAGGATCTATCTTGCAGAGAACGGAGAATTAGATGGAGACCTCAACCGTAGAATACAAGCTGGATGGATGAAGTGGAAGAGTGCACCCGGCGTGTTGTGTGACCGTTGTATGCCACTGAAGCTCAAGGGAAAATTTTATAGGACAGCAATAAGGCCGACGATGCTATATGGCACGGAATGTTGAGCGGTGAAGCATCAACACGTACATAAAATGGGTGTAGCGGAGATGAGGATGCTTCGTTGGATGTGTGGGCACACGAGAAAGAATAAGATTAGGAATGAGGATATCCAAGGTAAAGTAGGAGTAGCCGAAATTGAAGGAAAGATGAGAGAAAATCGGTTACCGTGATTTGGACATGTGCAAAGAAGGCCTATTGATGCTCTGGTTAGAAGATGCGACTACGGGATAGACGTCCAGGGTCGAAGGGGTAGAGGAAGACCTAGGAAAACTTTGGAAGAGACTCTAAGAAAAGACTTAGAGTACTTGGATCTAACGAAGGACATGACACAGAATCGAGCGCAATGGCGTTTTAGGATTCATATAGCCGACCCCACTTAGTGGGAAAAGGCTTTGTTGTTGTTGTTGTTGTTGTTAGAGAAGTTCTGTTAGACATCACTATTACAGTACAACCTGTTACTCGGGGATTTCATTTCAGTCAGAGCTATTACTGAAGTCCATTAATTGTTAGCATTCATATATTCACAGATTTTCAGTTACTTATTTCTTATCTTTTTTGTAGCTAAAATTGATGATTCTGAACGGCTTCGCCCAGAAGAACTAAATCAGCAAAACATAGAGGCCTTGGTTGCTGAAAATAATCTGGTATCAGCCGTCATATTCGTTTCCTGTACTCAGTATATCATGCCATCTTGTACTTCTCATCCAGTGGAACACTTGATTTGTTTATTTACAGAATATAGTTTTGTAAGTTTCTTGCGAATAAACAGTTCCACAAGGGCTCAGAAACGCACACCTCAACTGCCTGGAAAATCTTTTACTGGAATACTGAATGTGATTGGAAATTGGCTCTTTTTGTCCTTTTCTATCATAAGCAACGGTTTATGATTCCAGGATACGATTTCTTTTTTTTTGGATTACTGCTAAAATGGAAGTCGTGGAAAATATTGAAAATGATAAAACAATTACTAATGGCTTACAGCGTGTAGATTATATTTTATGGTTAAAACCCTCATGGTGATATCTGATGATGCAGAAAATGGAGATCCTTCCTGTCAATGATTTGGACATTGCATTACACAATTTTGTTAGTAAGGATGACAAAATGGCTTTTTATTCTTGCGTGAAATACAATCTTGAAGAAACTCGAGTGAGTACTTGCTTTCTTTAAAGTTTCAACAATTTGTTGTATTCTTTTTTTTGAAGTATGCTATGACAATTCCTTTTTCTACTTCTACAGAAGAAAATTGCTAAGGATCCAGATACTGTAACATTTGAAGAGGAAGATTTAATCGTTAAAGTCGGAGAGTGTTTGCAGGCAAGAATGATTAAATTTCAAATATTTTCTTTCATTTGTGATCAAGTATTACGCTATTCTAGTCAGTTTCATGGACAATTATTTTGCCCTGCTTAGCACTCTTTGGGGTTTGAAAGAAGGCAATCAGTTCCCAAATGCATGGTAGTTGACTTTTAGTCTCTTGAGACCTCTTGTGCTAATTTCATTTAGTTTGGCTTTAGTTCTTAGATATGGGAAAAAAATATATAGGTGGCTCAAGGTTTGTAATCTGATCATAATAGGAGGCAGCTTTGACATAAAAGAGAAAACATAGAAGTCTGGAATTCGTGTTAGGTTCTAAGGAGCTACTTTTCGTCAAACATCTCACCCTGATGTGGCCTAAGCATCACAATGGCAATTGAGGGCTTGTTTCCATTTTACATTGACCAGACATTTATATTATATGCGCAGGAACGTGTCAAGGAAAGGCCTACGCAGTCTAAGAATAACTCTCCATTCTCCTCCACTGCCCCTCCTTGGGAGGTAATTCTGATTTTAGTATGCTTTCGAGAATTTGCATCGGTTTTCTGTGTTTCATCCATTTCAGAATCTTTTGGCTGATAGATGTGCCTACTATTTTCTTTTTTAAACTTTTTTCCACGTGTAGGATTTCAGAGGTACAAGTGCTGCTGGAACTGCAAGTGCAGTTTCCTTCAGTGATGATGAAGATGCAATGCAGATGACTGGCTCAACATCCACTGCCAGAGGCCGCAACAGCAGGACGTCCACCTCAGAAGTTGGTAAGGGTAAAACTACAACAAGAGGAAGGGGCGGGGGCAGGGGCAGGGGCAGGGGCAGGGGCACCAGTACCTTGAAGCAGACGACTCTCGATGCATCTCTTGGATTTCGGCATTCTCAGAGGTTTTTCATTGAAACTGACCACATCATTTTAAAACATTAATTAATAAATAGCATTTTGTTCAGTAGCTTTATAGGGCTAAGAGAGAAATGTGTAAAAACAAATATAGTTGTAAGATAAGCTCCCACCGTGTGGGATTCAGCATTAAAGTCTAGCACAAAAGCCAAGTAGAAAACAAGATGAAAAGAGGTTCTTCAAGTACGCTTTGATTCAACTAGTACCCTTTAACCATTATACAACTTTAGCTTTTCCATAGCAAGTTCATTTATTTTTTTCTATATTTGTTACTTTTTCTGTTATAAAAGATCAATATCATATCCTTTTCCCCCTTACAGTTGGTGATGCCGACTGGGGTTCAACAAACTCACTATGAGAGGCAATTGGGATGAAAAAGAACTAATGTCACGCTTATGCAGTCTTATTAAGAAACAAACTTTTGTTTTAAGACTTGAATTAGACAAGAAAACAGGTTCTGACATTGAAAATGCAAAATCATGACTCGTGAGGAATTTTTCTCAGTAGTGTACTGCATGCAGTGAATAGTCTGCTGCGCATTTGGTTTATTTTGCTTTTATAAGTTATTGCATTCATGTTCCCAATTAAATATCTTAGCTAATATAGTCACTGCAGATCTGCATCAGTTGCTGCAACTGCCGCTGTTCAAAGTATTGCAGATGATGGAGATGATGTGGATTCTCTGAGTGAAGAGTCGGGGAAACTTGGAATTGATGAGGTTGACAACAGTTCGGTATGGATTACCTTCTTGCTTAACTGAGTTAGGGTATTAAATCAGTGGTAGCTAATGAAAAGTTGAACACCTGTTCTTATGTTAGTGTCAGTTGCCTGTGTCTCTTTCGTATGATTTTTTTTTTTTCCAAGTCTACCAATACACAACCTCCATTTGCCTTGTGTCAGCCATTATATAATTTTGCACGTCTACACGTTCCATAAACAAAAGCAATGTGGGCTTGTGATATTAATTTGATAAGATAATATGGTTTCAATTATTGAAGGAAAATGATGAAATTCTTCCACCAAGTAAAGGACGGAAAAGGGCTGCTCCAAGGGGGAGAGGAAGAGGCTCTACACAACCATCTAAACGTGGAAAGAAGTCAGATAGCTCTGCAGTTAACCGAATGTTTATGAACAAAGATGATGATGACGACGATGATGAAGATGTGACAAAGAGATTAAATAAGCATCTGCCTCGGGTTGTTCTTCTTTCTTCTATTTCTTTTTACTTGTATTCTTTAAATCAGTATGGCAATTTATAGGACTGCCTGATTTTGTTCTTGTGAGATTTCTGTAGTACTGACCTTTTATTCTCCCTTTTTGTAGGTCACGAGAAATTATGGCTCTCTTAGAAGGTAACAATCAGTAAAGTTCACCCATGCTTCGACGAGGTAATCCAACCTTATGCCGGTTTCCACTTTATGTATCTCCACTTCGGGGCTAAAGACAATCCATCCGCAGAGGCTTAGGATTTAAGTCTACATTCAAGCTGTTTGAATGTTCCTTCCGAAGGTTGCAAAATGTAATTTGATCGTTATATGAGTGGATGCCCGCATCAGTTGATTTTGTTCCAAATCGAGTTTGTGTTTTTTCCAGGTACTGTAAATCTGTGTTGAGTGATACATGACGTGAGAGACATTGAAAATTTTGGGGTGTTACAGAGAGAGAAGCAGACTTCCTTTCAGATTATGCATAATTCCTATTTCCTTTTACACTAACTCTTAACCATAATTTTCATTAGTTAAAGATTGTGAGCATCGTGACGGCCATGCTTTCCGGCCACCAAACACAGCAGCCAGAGTATCAACAGGCAGGTTGGCTGGTGCTTTCGGTCGCAACATCCATCTGATTTGTTTTAGCTTGGAAGCAACCCTGCTGGCTGGGATGGCTTGTAATCTATATGGTGCTTATAGTTTTGGAAGTCAAGAAAACATGGACTTGTATTACACATTCGAAGCAAGCGATTTGCACGTTTAACATTTCATCAAAGCAAACGATTTACGCTTTCGAAGCAAGCAATCTATATTGTGCTTATATAAATGACAGATTCACACTCCCTCTCTCTTTCAATTCGTCACAATGAAAGGATTTCGGTGGGAGAATTATGTGTGCGAGGGATGATATTAGCGCCACCGAAGAGACAAAAGCATCGCAACTCGGACAAAAGATCACCTCAAAAATGTGCACATAACAACACAAGTTATATGACAATCAGAAGATAAACTTCCATAGACATACTGATGGATTCTCTGGGTGAGAAATTTTTGGAACAGTTTGACGCCACAAGAACAAAATGATACCACCAAAATGTTGGACACACCGTGGCCGAACTTTGTTTCACTCTACTTTGCCTCCAGTGTTACAACCGATGTTAGGTTTACGCTCCACATACAAATCGGTTAGGCTGCACTGGTCTCTGTCTCTCATCTGAAATGGGGTCTCTTTGGAATATCCTTCAGGCTTACCAAATGGCTTTGACCGTCCATTTTTCCCTGCTCAAAATAAGCTCGACGTTATCAGATTATTGAGCGAAAACGTCTGCAATTCATCAGTGGTACACTCTACTAATCAGACATGGTAATGGGATTATGGAACACAGATTTAATTAAAATCGCTTCCCTGTCTTGAGTGCATTATCTATCGTTGCATGTAAAACCGGTTTCAACGAATGAAAATGAAAACAACTTATTTGAAGATGTAGGTGGTATTTATAATTGATAACTCCTATTGGCTTACACTAATCATCTGAATTGTCTCTTGGTATTCACTTCCAAAATCAAGTGTTTTTGGTCAATTTAACTTCTCTCCTTGGATAGCTAACCTCGATTTAATTTTTAGTAACGTTGCGTAAGAATTGTTTTTACTCTAAAGGTTATAACCTTTAGACAAAGACAAGAGATAACAAAGAACTAATACTCTAAGGTTATAACCTTTAGACAAAGACAAAAGATAACAAAGAACTAATTAATTGACTATTAAGCATTAATGTACCTTCCCAGCCAGTCCTGTTCTGTCAGTCCTTTGCAAAATGCTCTGTTTTGTCCCCTTCGGACTCCAAACCTTGGTTACTGGAGCAATGCCTTTGTTACTGCATTTCTGACTCCCAGCCATCTTCCCTTTCACATTCTCTTTTCCTGAGGCAGCCATTCTGTTAGATCCACCAACTACTGGTTTCTCCTTGGATTTTACAGTAGCAGTAGTTGATTTATTTTCATTAACTCTAACTGATTCCAGAGGTTTCCTTCTCTGAATCTGATTTTGAACCTGTACAAACACTGATTCACGTTAACATCAATCTCGTGGTCCATCACTGCATACTATGAAGCAAGATCAAATTCAATATGAATAAAATGTACAAAATAAATTGCAAGAAAACCATGAGCAAATATGGCAGCCCTAAAATTGCTTTTCATAGAGGGGAGTAATTTTTAACTCGTGTTACAAAAACAGGTAGAGAATGAGATAAATTTCCCATCAGCCTAATGGTTTTAGATAGAGTATAGAGAAGTCCCTTACTAGTAGCAATTACTAGTTTTACAACATCTTACCTTTGGTTTTGCAGCTTCCACGTGGACTGACTTCGAAACATTAGGTCCCATTCTGTTGCTTGCAGTCCCTCTCTCAATCTTATGAGTAGACGGCTTGGATACTTTGGAAGGTCTTATTCTGTTCTTGGTTGCATAACTCATTCTTGCCACATTTCTGCTATCTGGGGTTCTTTCTTTGTACTGTATTGATGTAGATGTTGAGGCCCTGCCCTCAGAACGAGGATTTGATGATGATCCCACACTAGACTTACTGGATGAAGATTTATGGACTCTTGATTGCCTTCTATCACCATTAATCTCCACTCTGGCTGCTGGCCTTGTAATACCACTTTTCCTGAAACCAGCCTTTATGACTGAAAATATCCCATTTGTTTTACTCAATATTGGATTTGATTTCTCCATAAACTTTTGTTGTTGCTGCTGCTGACCAATCTCTGATGTTATGGTGCTTGTTGTACTGCTTTCATCTGCCTTGTTTGTCACAGAACTCAAACTACATGTTGGATCCCCACCAGAAGACGTTGGCTTAGAGCAACTGGGTATGTGATTTGTAGTTAAACTGCTTTTGCAAACTGAACTTGATTTGGAACTGGATGTTCCTTTCAACTGTATAAAGCTTGATTTGGGTTTCATCTTATCACTGGACCCTGAATTCCCACAGGAAGATGTCCCACTCAGAACTTTGTCTAGGTGCCGCTTATCTGTAAAATCCTGGTTTTCCCCTCTCCATTTCTTGCTTACGAAGTCTTTGCCTCTTGACTTAGAGACAGAAGACGGAAGTTGTGGTGAAGATGGTCCTACTAAGTCAAAGTTTAGGCCTATACTATCCTCACCGGAATTCGAAAATGCAGCCTTCAACTGGCGTGAAGAGCATTGGTGGAACCTAATAATTCCATCAAATTACCAGAACTCAGCATTCCTCTTGGACGACATGAATCCAAAAGACAAAATGGATAATACCGAATAATCAAAGGGTTAGAGGATACTTACAGATGGCTTCTATAAAACCAGTCATCATCACTGCAATGTATCCAAATAAAGAAGAATTAAAAATTGGCATCACATATACTTACTGAATTATAAACCATTTCTGAAAATTAAAGAGAAAAAAACTTGTGGGAACGTGACGATATTTGCTACTGAGCATAGTAGAACCCACATATGTTGGTTTGTTGAGTTGGCTTCTAATGTGAGATCAACCCACATAGGCGCTTCAATTTCTTCCTGTATCGATCAGCAAAGAAAGAAGTAAACAAGTAAATTAAGGGTCCAGAGAAATTGCATGAAATAAAAAAGATTGCAAGCTAATCCTAATGTAATAATGGGTTTCTGTGAATATTTAAAACTCCAAATCCTTTTTCTATTCCACACTGTGTAAAGAGAGAACCGAACGCAATCGATTCACAAGAACAAAATGCACCTTCAGAGTTGGTTAGGATATGTTTGGTTGCTGAGAAAATGTAGACTAAGAAAAAGAAATAGAAGGTTGTAAACATGAACATGAATAAGAATGCAAACATCCATACAATACGAGAACTCGGAACTCAGGAATTGCCAGAACCCACAGAAATTCACAAAAACAAAAAAACCCAGAAATCGAAAACTGTCATAAGCTCAAATCAAAACCCAGAAACAAGATTAAAGATATCAAATTCAGAAACCCACATTAATAACAAGACGACCCACGTTTCAAGCAAACAAGATTCCTAAACACAATAAGTCCAATTTCAAAGAACTCAAAATTAAACCAAAAACAAAAAAAAAAGCCAATTAAATCCAAGAACCCCAAATTCCAACCCAAAAAAAAAAAAACCCTTAATCCGAGAGGGGAGAGAGAGAGAGAGAGAGAGAGAGAGAGAGGGAAAACAAGTTCAAGGAAGATGATTTGTACCAGAAATGCCCAGTGATCGTTGCTATTCTTTAGAGCCATGTTCTTGTCCTCCTCAAAAGCCGCAGACGAATGGGCTTTTCTTCTTCTTCTTCTTCTATCATCCATCCTCCATTTGTGCTTCTATTTTGCTAATTTGGGAGGAAGTATGTATGCCGTTTGAGCTTTCACCGCTGCGAGCGCCCAGCGTCGTCGTTTTGTTTGGACGGCTGGGATTGATCAGCAGGTCCCCGATGCAGACCGTTGTTTATTATTGCGAATGGAGAGCGCGAGCTCAAACCATTTGACCGTTGGTGGGATTCAAATTTGATCCAGGAAAAGAAATGGAAGGTCGTCGGTCTCGTATTGGTTATGGGCCGGGGCGTTGGGTTTAATTTTTTACCTATTGTATTGTATTTAGAGGTTTCAAAATTACCTTGAAATACATTTTTCGTCTATTTGATCATATGTGTGACTCATTTTTAAATTGATGTAGAAGTTGCATTAAAATATGTTCTCGAAATCAAATCAAAATGAAGTAACTTGGTGAAAAATATTGAAATAAGTCGTCCATGAAAAGAGGCCGAACCATCATAATTTGCCTATATTATATCTATATATCTTGTCTTTTTAATTAGATGAGTTTTTATTTTCTCAAAATTTTTTAATTGAAATTTTCTCTAGTTATCAATATCCATGTTGTCCGATCGACGTATCTCCAACTTTGGATTGTTTACCAGATCTAGTGAACTACAGGTGTTTTCTACCAATTCTGATAATTATGGTTATACTCTTGTTTTTTTTTTTACCATGGTGTGAATATATTGTACGTAGGTGTAAGTATACGTAAATTCAACTACAGATATATAAGTTGAGAACCAAACCTCCTCCCCACTATTTAGCCAGTATAAATACTAGAGGAATCCTAAAATCTTCGCCAGTATGCAAACCCTAGACAACACAAGAAAATGTTTCTCATAAAGTAGTTGTATCCGAATAAGTGTTTGTAGAAAACTTTGGTGTTGCCGCAACCTTCGTCCTTCCATGGTTGCCACGGAAATAAGGTTAGCCACTCATTCGTTTGTGTTTTAATTATATATCCATATAAGGTTAACATAATTAACTTTTACATAATACAAGGACAAACAATGATCCTCTCTCTCATTTTCTATCTACCGTAGAAGCCACAAGACCACACACCAGAGACTTTCATTTTCTCCTTGAGAGATCATTTGTACGGCTCACTTCACATTGTATTTCAACAATTCAACTGTACATCTTTTACGCCTTTCTTTAAAGATCTTCTCTAGCACAAATCATCAAAATTTGGAATATTTGATCATTGTATTAAATGGTAGTCATATCAATGTTTCTTTAAACAATCATATTCGTCTATTAAATAGAATTATTAGAGGATCCCTAAACGAAAGGGGACTGTATACCATGATCGAGAGACATTTGGTAGGGAGCATTAATTACTCATAATGGCTTAACATACTTTTAGCAGAAACACTTACTCATGACTAATCATTATTCTACCTTTAACTTAGACAAGTTTTCAGTAGGAACACTTATTCATCCTTTGAGTAGCCAAGTACTAGAATAATGTTTGGCTACTCAAGGAATAGTAATCATTCTTCTACCTTTAGCTTAGAGCATCTCTAAAGGAGATGTCAAAATATCTAAATCAGTAATAACAGTAAAAAAGACAGCAACTATTTTCCAACCAAGAAACTAAATCTGATGTGGCATGATATGGAATGGCAGCTTCCCCACTCCCCAAAAAAAAAAAAAAAAAATTTGACAGCAGCTTCAAAATTTTTATAATAATTATTAAATGCTTTTTACTAACTTTTTATTGGTTTAAAGCATTGCACTTTAATTCTTTTCAGTACCCATGCAATGTTTAAATATTTTTATACTTTTTAAATCATTTCATTTCACTACCAATGCAAAGAAAATAAATATGAATTTTAACTTTATGTTTAAAATTTGACATGGAGAGCAAAATTTTAAAAGATGTCAAAATACAACATAAGTTGTCAAATTTAAATTTTATATTTAAATTTTGATATTTCCTTTAGAGATGATCTTAGACAAGTTAATGCTAATTTCACTATAACACAATATGTAATTAATAGCACTGCACGATAGCATTTCTTAACAAGTGCTACATAATGGTTTCAGAAATTCCAACACTTTTTAAAACGTTATTATAGGCTTTAAAATTTTAATATTTTGAAGTCGGTACTAATTTTTTCCTTCCAACATATATTGAATCACTTGGGCTGTCCAATCCAATTCTATACATCAAATGAGGTCTAAAGATTTACAGGACTCAGTACTCAAAAAGATAAACTGATAAGCAAATCAAATGAACTTGGTTCATCGATCTATTTTGTGGTAATTGCAAATAATCAATTTAGTTGCTTGGTACATCTTGGTTTTTACCAGGGAATGCCCAATATGTGTTACTTCTTTATGTGCTACCATTTCATATGAATAATATAACTCCATTTCCTTTTCTTGGATCTCAAATGTTTTAGTTTAACTGTCGATATCACAAGTCGCTTTGGGTAAGAATATACACCCAAATGGTTGTAGCATAACCCAAAACAGAAAATTACAAAGCTAGGGATAGCCCTAACTCTAGCAATGCTAAGCTTATCAGCAAACCAAGATGCCTACAAGGGAAGGGAGGAGGACCATTAAACGCATGCATAAAAGTCCTTTGAAACATGATGAAAATTTATATATAAACAGCTAGCTGGATGGGTGAATCTGAAATTCGAACCGTAGAATTTCTCATTCAGCTAGGAGATAAAATATAATTCATAATTTACTCAAGTTCATAACAATTCCCTTCCTCAAGTCCAACTCCAACACTTTGGGAATTATATTGTAGCTTTCTACAAAATTCAATGACAAGAGTATATATTCTCACAGAGCGAAAATTTAAATTTATTTCATTTGTAGTATCAAAGAGAAAACAATTAAACAATTCAAACAAATTTATTAAAACACGGTTTAAACGAACGACCAGGACAAAAACCGGCTCATTCGTATTTTTGTTGGCCAATGGTGATGCCTTACTGAATTTAGCAAAGAGAACAACTAGTCCAAATTGAAGGCCTAAAGAGGCACGGGTTCGACAAAGAGTGAAACCACAATGTCCTTGAGAAATATTCCAGCATGAGTAAGGCCATCATCATGCTTGTATATAACTTCAATCATTCGTGCAAGATTGACAATTCGTAGTATTAGCTGCATGGGGATCGAAAATGGTAGGGCGGTGACACGTTTCGTTTACGTCCTTCCATGCATTATTAACTTGCTTGATTAGTTCGATTATTGCTTGTTCCTCTGTGGCACCATGTTCTTTCATGTAGCATTCCACGGATGAGGCAACATGCCCTCTCTTCTGGTCAAACTTCAAAAAAAAATATCAAGGTTATATATAGTAGTAGTAGAACAAATCTAGCTAATAACAAATTATTAAAAAAATATATACATATGCAAAGAAAAAAGAGAATATTGGAGAATTAATTGATCTTGAACTTTAGTCGAATTTGAGTTTTCACCACTGAACTAAAAATTTGTGAATATTGATGATTGAACTTGCCACAGTGGTCCTTTCGAGGATGGAAGTTCTTACGGAGCAACCCAAAAGAACCATTGCTTCACATTGTGACTAGTTCATACACCGGAACTCACAATACGTAGTAATTAATTTATATAATTAAGTACGTACCTTGTGAGATTTAATATCGTCCACGAGTCTAGCAATTTGTGATGCCGCCTCCACAATCTTAGGGTCACTAAACATCCAATCTAAGGAGTCTTTTGTAACAACACTTCCCATTCCAACAAAGGCTGTGGTTGCTAGCATGAAGTAGGATGTATTAAGTGTTTCTGAAAAATATTCATCCATGGTTGGTGTGTAGTTATCATAGAACCATTTTGCTTCCTTGAAGAAAGATTTAACTTGAATTTTCATCTGAGAGACGACCAAGCGATGTACATGTACATAATAAAGCTTTAATTAATTACTATATAACAGTAATCAGTAAGATGGAAAAGATATTTCTGTGAGACTTAATGCTTCTCTTGCATAGTGGATGCGATATGAGTTTCCCTCCTTTCCAAGCTTTTCCTCAATTTCAGCGTAGAGATCCAACAATGCTTGATAACAGACTTTCATGTACTCTGATAGATGAACCATGATAGAGATGTCCCACCTGATGACTGACGAAGAAACATTTAAAATAAGCGAGTGAAACAATCCAAAAAGGCTCTCATCAAAAAATACTAGCTGAAGTTCGAATTTTCACACGTCTTGCTACATCACGTACTGTCAACACTCAATATTCAAAGAAAATGGTACCTTTCTCGATGGCTAATTCGTCGTGGTTTGGTCGAAAAACGGCTTGAAAATGGCTAACTCGAGACCAAGACAGCCAATTTCGAGCTGTTTTTCTGCCAAACCACGATGGTTTAGCAATCTAGAAAGGTAGCATTCTCTTTGTCTCATTAAGAAGTATGATTGTCGTTTTTGAATCACTCGATTTCGTTAAGTATTGAAGAAGTTATGAACATTTAAAGTTTACCTAGTTTCTAGTGAGTTTTCCAGTTTTCCTGCCGACCAATCACCTTTCAGGCTATTTTCTGGCCATCTTTGGCAACCATTGGGCTTCCAAATGGGTAAAATCTTGGTCTACACTTTCCTATGTTCATTTTGATATATTATGGGTCCAATTTGGTTAAGAAATAATTGAGTTACGAAACTTTGAAAATTGCCCAAACTTTCGGCCAAGAGCTCTGGGACACTTAACGGAGTTTTTAACGAAATAACCAAAATAATGGAAATCAATCTTTGGAACCAAAGTGATGTGTTATGCAGATCTCAGTGACCATTTTGGCTAAAAAGCCTAACCAAAATGATTGATTATGAACAAACTCAATAACCAATTCTATCAATTTCAAATCTCAGGAACCAAAGTGAGGAGTTAGGCTAAAAAGCCTATTCTAATTAATTCAGAGAATGTTTCCTCAATTGTAGAGGGCTGGCGGGAGTTGAAGGTGTGTGGTTCTTCGATATTTTTATACAGTTGTGACTTGCGAGGGGGCAGTTCAATGGGTGGCACAGTGGGTGGGGCGGAGCATGGCGTAGCATCCCAAATTAAAATAATGGGTAAAGTACAAAAAACTACCTCAACTATTAGTGTTACGACACTTTCATACCTCATCTTTTAAAATT